TCCCTTCAAACCCATTATTTTCTCTGGTAGACAGGCTGGATTCGTACGGCAAGGAGGAGGGAGCCCGTCGGAGCTCAGCTAAGAACCTGTCACACAACAGCAGCATCAAAACCAGGGACAGCAGATGCCTCCTGGTGTCACCAGTCACCAGAGGAACGGCCAGCAACTCACCACTAAAAAGGTTTTAAACTCCTCTTGGTGTAGAATAAATGATACTTTCAGAAGGTGCTTTAGAGATGTTACATGTGATCAGTCCCCTCAGTTTCCCAGCAAATAAAGGTCTGTGGTAATATATTTCTTGTTTAGCATAACCTCTCTGGAACTGTCATCACATTCTGAACAAAACTCACGTAGTTACCACAAAGCTACTAGTTTAGTAACAGACTTAATCACAGTTCTAACTTCCAGGTCATTAAGAAAGCCTAGAGTTATACACGTAATCTGATGCTAAACAGTCAACACAGTTTCCTTCTTCCAAGGTGTGAATAAATAAAATATTAATTAAAAATTTAAAATAGTTCTGTAGTTCTCTGTTCACTAAAATCTTTTATTTCTATATAGCAGAAATCCTATTCCTTCCCTCTGACAGTCTCAGTGTTAAGCACTGTATTTTTCCAGAGTGAAGTATGGACTTTACTCTCTGGCTGTAATGAGTCAAGGAAACCACTAATGTACAGTGTCAGTATTTTTACTGTTATTATCTGTATTCTGGCATTTCCGACTAGTTAAAGATCATAGTAATGATGATGTATCCAAAAGTCCAGTTCGGATAATGTACCCAAATGGAACAAATTCAGTTTATTATTTGATTTCACAGGCACTTAATCATACAAAACGATGCCTGGTTGGCACAGTGATAGATGAACTAGGGAAAGATTAGATTTGTTAATGCTGACATTAGGATCAGCACTGTCTAGTGTGATTCCTGCACTCCTCACACTCTTTTAGATGTAGGAGGTGTGATCTTCTCTCATTCTTCAGCACCGGGGTGGGAGGAGATGTCAAATTAGGAACCCCAGAAGCTGACACTGCATGGTGGGAGGGCAGCTGGGCCAAAATGTGTCGTTATCATGTCTGTCATCTTCATTGTTAGAGCTGTTTATGTTACTCGAGAGGAAATAGGCTGTGTATGGAAAACCTGAGAGGATTGTTACAGACCTCATGGTTTTTAATGTTATTAAATGTAAATTGTAGGAAAGACAGTAAACGGTTTGGAAACTCCTTCATGAATTGCTGTCTGGAAAGAAGAGCTGGTCAACATGGGATAGAACAGCTTGCTTAGAAGGTGTGACAGAAAAAAGGGTCAGGAATGCAGGGACTATTTTGAACTTCAAATAGAACCACACCTGAGACACTTCCCTTGTGCTAGAAGGAAATAAGACAAGACACACAGTATAGGTGCAAATTAAATTCCTGGTTTTTTTATGGATGAGACACCTTAAAAATTCAAGGTGAAAGATAATAGGGCAACTAAAAAAGAACCTGTTGTTAAATTTGCCCTAGAATTACATTTTAAGTGTAAATTACTCCCAGTCATTCTTATTTTCCAGCCTTGTAATTAGGAGCTTGACCTTAAGCCTGGTTGGAATGAACCTCTAATTTGATCAATGTTTGCACTTGACTAGTGTTGATGACAAATTCAGGTGAAGCTAATAAACATCAGAGTAGTTTGTGAGATAACCCAAATACATCCATATAAAGGGGCATGAAGAGGGAGCTTCTGAGATATTTATAAAGGTTCAGCAAATGAAATGTAGTGCTTTGCAGGTATGAGAATTAATGGAGGGGGGCCACAAAAGTTTTCAGCTGTTGGACTGCAGAAAGCAGCCTGTTCTGGTAGACACAAACTAATGTCTCTCCTGCAAGGAACAATGTCAGAAATACATCTCACAGTTGCAGGAAACACTCAGAGTGTCCTGTAAGAACTCTGCAGAATTTGTGCCATCAGCATCTCTTTGAGACTGGCCAAAAAGCAGGTTTTCATTTAGTTTTCACAAACTTCACGTAAACCAAACAAACGCATTTTTTCTCCTGCAAACTGGACATTTGAGGAAAGCTTATCTTAGAATACGCTGATTTACGGTGTACTTTAAACAAAATAACCTTTCTGATTTGGCAGTAATTCTGTCAGGCAGGCACACTGGTCTGTCCCAGGACTGCTAACAACACCTAAAGAAACATGAAGTCCTGAAGTCCTGTTCCTGTGGTGCTTTGACAGGAATCAAAGCATTTTTCTATGGGAATTCCACCTTGTATGTGATGATAGTTTGTTGAAAAGCAGCTTGCCAACTCAATTCTCACTTCCCCTTGAAAACATTTCCTCTCTTGCCATACAACGACCATCGCAGCCAGGTCTGTGACCCATAGATTGGAGAGTCCATTGCCCACTCAGACTTGGAAGGGCATGTTCCAGAGAATGAAAGATTATGATTTATTGTGGTGAAACTGCCTATAAGTGCAAATAATTTAGTGCCATGTTAAAACAGTGATTAATTTAGCTCATAATTTCAAGAAATGAAGCAACACTCCCTGACATAGCTTGAGAAGCTATATAATTTACAGCAGCTCTCCTAGTTAGCAGACTATAGAGCTATGAACATCCTCGGTCCTGTTAATATCTTAACAGGACTCCCTACGAGCATCAAGGTCTCCTGGTATATTCTCCTGTGAGCTGGAAACAAGAGATTTTAAGGACAGTTTCTCCCATGACCTGATCTTCTTAATGTGCCACTCTTCCTTTTCAGTAAGGTTACTGACACTTAAACGTCTCTGCTGAAACACAAATCTTCCCTTACCTCATCACTACAGTGACAAAATCTCTTGTACAGGCTCACTCCTTCATCCTCTGTGGCACTACCTTTTCCCTGTTTTTTTCTGCTGTACTGTGGTAATAATAATAAACTTCCATAACTGATACACACACAGACTTGCCTGCTGGTTTTCCATCACCCACCACACCTCACTTCAAGCTCCCATTTCAACCTCCGTGACCTCATACCTTACTTCAGCTGTTGTGTCACCTCTTATGCATTTCATCCCTCCTACATTCCCAGTGTGTCTTACCAAGCTACAGAGTACAATCCTGTCGGTATCTACTTGGTATCTACTGTGCCTGAATAACATTTTCCTCCTTTTGTCAGCTCTCCTTCTCACTGCTGAAGCAGTGTGAGGAGGCCAGTGACTGCCAAGTGTCATCACTGGAAGAATCCAGCACTGCCTGTGCCTTTCTCCTGTGCTCAGCTCCTCAGGCTTTGAAAAGGATGACTAGATTCTTAATATTTGCATGCAATAGAGTAGCGTAATGCCCTAGCTATCTAACCAGGCACACTTGAGCTTCCTGCATGATCAAATCTCTCCCTTTTCATTTTTCTTCTTTTTTTTTTTTTTTCCAGAGCTGTTGTCTCTTCATGTTGCTTTCAGATTAGTCGACGTATCAGTCCCAACGCAGGACCGAGTCAGTTGCATCCCAAAAGCCTTTAGCCCTCCTGACACCATGTGATTAGGAGGATCTAGACCCTCCAGCATTATCTGAACTCAAGCTTTAAGTACTGCAGTTAAAGACTTATATACATACTGTTAATTGATTTTGTAAGTGGATAGGAAAAATCTGTGGAAACTGCAGAGAAAAAGCCCCACCCAACCTCCAAATTTCGTTGTTTTAAAGACTGCATTGCATTTCTAATGCAGATAGCTGTGTCTTATTTTCAGGAAATTATGGATGAAGATGAAAGGAAAACATGTGGCTGCTCCTCTGAAAGCTGCTGAATTTTCTTCTCAGGTACCTGTGTGTGTTAAGCCTACATGGTTAATCCCTGTGGCTTATTTGACCAGTTAGGGGGGGCGAAAAAAGTGGGTCACAGAACTTGAGCACTGGAGAGAATTCGATTCCTTCACCAGACGCAAATGTACTAATTTTGAGAGCCGGAGGATGATCAGAAGCTTTTGTTGTTCATCATTCCCGACAGCCGGGCTACCCGATGTGCTCGGAAGGCTCCTACACGCCCACCTACAGGCCAGCAGCCTCTGCTCTCAGCAGTGAGCCGCGCTGGGGCTGAGCGAGTGCACCGCAGGTCCTGCACCTGCAGGACCCGAACGCCGGGGAAGGGCTGCCACCGCGGCTCGGATGGAGCGCTCCTTCCCCAATACGTCACCGCTCCCCGCTCTGCACCCTGCAGCTGGAGCACCGCCAGGGATGGTGGGCACACACACGGGGGGCGCCGAGGGACCGCCCCACCCGGGGTTGGGACCAGTGAGGGGACTCCGGGAACCCCCGCCGGGGGTGCCTTCCCCCCAGTGCCCGACCCTCGCCCCGCTGCTGCGGCACGGAGCGATGTACCCCGCAGCAGGCACGGAGCGATGTACCCCGCAGCAGGCACGGAGCGATGTACCCCGCAGCAGGCACGGCGCCCGCCCCGCCCGGGGCAGCGCCTGTCCAGGCACCGTGCGAGGCTCGCACCGCACGGTCCACCTTCCTCTCTCGGCTCCCGAGGGAGCCGCGGCGTCGCGCCCACCTCCTCCCCATGGCAAGCCCCACCCTCCCCGGGAAAAGAGGATGACATCATCCCTCTCCAGCCACCCGCCCCGCCGCTCCTCCGGCCCGCCCGCCACCCCGGCGGGGATGGAGGTCGCACCCGCACCCCCACGGCGGAGCCGCGCCCTCGGGGGGCTCGTAGGGGGCTCCCGGCCGCGCCGCCCGGCCGCGCCCCTGTCCCCCGCCCCGCTACGTCATCGCTCCCGCCGCCCTCCCCGCCGGTGCTGGCGGGGCAGCGTCCCCCGAGGGGCGCGCCGGGGCCGGGCAGCGGCTTCGCGGCGGCTTCAGCCCGCTCAGGGCGCCGGCGCGGGGCGCTGGCGCCGGCGCGGTGCGGCGGGCGCGGCTGCGCAGCGCGTTGGGGCGGGCGCGTTGGGGCGGGCGGGCGGCGGGGCAGCCCCTGCGCTGACACCTGCAGCATGTGCCAGGAGCTGCAGCGGCAGCGGCCGCCTCCGCCTCTGCCTCTGCGCGGCGCGGCCGCCCCGCTCCGGCGCCGTGCGCGGCGCCGCCGGAGCAGGAGCAGGAGCGACTCCCGCTGCTCCCGGCGCGTCCCTCCTCCTCCTCCTCCTCCTCCTGCCTGGCACCGCGTGCCGGCGGCGGGTGCACGGTGACCTTACGGAGCGTGCATTACCTCACAGGTAAATATCAGCTGATCCGCCCCGCCGGCGGCGGCGGCGGGAGCGCACGGAGCCTTCCCGAGGTAGCGATGCCGGCCGGGGCAGCGGGTTTGCGGTGCCGGGCGGGGGGCGCAGCCGCCTGTTGCCGTGCACCTGAGCGGGGCGGGGGGCCCGGGGGTTCCCCGGCAGCGCTGCCGCCCCGAGGTGGGGGCCGGCCTCGGGAGGGTGGGGGAGGTGTGTGTGGGGGCTGCCCCTCCGCTGCTCCCACCCTGCCGGGGCCGCCCCCCGTGGGGCCGCACGGCGCTCCCGCCTGCCCTCGGGCGCTGCTGGGGCGCTCCCGGTGTGTGAGTGTGCACAGGCATGCGGCACGGCCGGGCTGCCTCCCAGCAGCTCCGTGCAGCAGGTCCCGGGGTCCCTGGAGACCCCCCCGGGGAGCCGGCAGGCTGTCCCTGCCCGGCTGCTGTCGCCCCTTGCAGCCGGCTGAGGTAAAAGTGACGAAAGGACGGCTCCCCGCAACGCAGCAGCCGCTGCCTTTCACCTGTGCGTTCGGCGGCTCGCTGGCAAACTTTGGTGTTGGGCGGTGAAAATCTCGGTCATTGCAGCCAAACTGGCTTGTACTACTCTCCCATGCTGAAGACCAGCTACCACCTAAAATGAAATACTGCTGGCGGCCGCTAAATCTGGTATTACTCACTGGATCCGCTCCCCAGCATAGGTGATACTTTAGGTAGTATTTTAAACATTGGTGGGAAACAGCGTTGCCTGGATATTGCCTGGATATCCTCGATGGATACTGGTGATACAGGAGATGTTAAAAGGAGACATTCACCGAGTAAGAAGCAGCATCACAAATTTGGTGCTCTTAGGCGTTCGATATATTGTGTTGTGCTCAAAGTTTTGTAACTTACTGTTCAGTTCTGAATGCTGTACCTCTGCTCCTCCCCTTGTTTTTGGGATGTGGAAGTAATTTAATAATGGGGGTAAAGGCATGGGTTCTGTGCTTTAACACTATCATTAGCTATGGAGCTGGTTTTGTAGCTTTTACCTGGATACTAGGTGGTCTCTCACAACTGTGAATTTGCACACAACTGGACTAATAAAATGATGGCAACTAGAGAGTAGTGAGTGCTAGATTTTTAAGTCATCCTGGTTTCTGGGTGTCAAAGGGTAAGTGAACATGAGATAAAAGCCAATTTCCTGTCTATTTTAAGTGCATGTCTTTATATTGCTCTTCAAAAGAGAATGATCCTACTGACACATTTTTGGGTTTTACCATCCTGTTGCAGTCACCAGTCAAAGTCCTGTATTTATTCAAAGTCCATAGTCATTGCAGTAGATGTTTTTGTGGTTTTATGTGAATTTTCACATAAATTTGAATTTTGTGGTTTTATGTGAATTTTCACAATTTGCCTTTTTTCACAAGGCAAATTTAAAATTCAAAGAACAGAATGCCTAAGAATAAATCTTTCCTTCTTATAGCAAGTCACACATAAAATTCCAGCTCCTGGTGCGACCTCTCAATAGAATATCACTGTAGTCAGAATGAGGTACTGTAGTCTTGCAGTGGTGGTCATCATCATGGCTAGTCTTCGCGAACGAATTTTTGAAAGGGCTCTACCCACGCTTGCTACAAGCGCGCTGATGGCTAAAAAGGCCAATGCGAGATAGACAAGTCCGGTTGCAGAAGGCACAGCAGAAAGACTCCCCTGGTGATATCGACAAGACGCGATTCTTTCTGCGTTGTCTTTTCTCCTCGAGAGTGATCCTGCGTGTGTCCTCGAAAGCAGCAGCAGCGTTAGAGATGGTGTGTCTCCAGGCCTCCCGATTGGAGGCCAGGGTAGACCAATGGTGATGATCAATATGGCCAAGGCTGAGGGATTGTTTCAGGGAGTCCTTGAACCTCCTCTTCGGGGCTCCTCTCTTGCGGCAGCCAGTGGCAAGTTCCCCATAGAGTACGATCTTAGGGAGGTGGTAGTCCTGCATCCTGGAGACGTGCCCTGCCCAGCGCAGCTGTGTTCTCAGCAGCATGGCCTCAATGCTTGTGATTGCTGCCTGTTCAAGGACAGACGTGTTGGTCACATAGTCAGTCCAGTGGATGTTTAGGATTGTACGGAGGCAGCGCTGATGGAAGCGTTCTAAGAGACGCAAGTGGTGCCGGTAAATGACCCATGATTCGGACCCATACAAAAGAGTAGACAGTACAACAGCTCTGTAAACAGAGGTGGTACTAAACAGGAAATTACATATGTTTGCACATTGTGATCACAAGAAAATAGATATTTTATGCATGTAATGCTGAGTATATGTGGCTCCCCAATGGTGTGGAATCATTTCCATGAGCAGTTTTTGGTCCGTTACTGATTATGTGCGCCAGTGCCCCAGGATGGCTAAACTGTACATGCTAAACTATAGTAGATTCAGCTCTCTCTGGGGAGTACCTCAGGACCCAATCCTGAAAACAAACATGTGGCTTTGATCTCTGTGTGCCAGGGTAACTCACCAGTCCTAAAAAAACCCCACCAAAAACAAACAAACAAACAAAAACCAAAAAACAACAAACTAACAGGAAAAAAGCACGAGGTACATTATGGTAAGTTGCTGGATAGCAATCCATTAAGATTTAGAGCAAGGTGAAGGATGAATTGTTTTGGTTTGTTTGGCTTTTGAAGGTTTAGTCCTTTATTAATGATTCCCTTGATTTCTACAGTTGTATGCTGTCAGAGACTGTAGAATAGATTGTCTCCTCCTGTCCATTTTGCTCAGTGTAAGTCCATTCAGAATTGTCTGTAAGGGTCAGCATTGATCTGTCTAACTTCCATGCCAGGCAAATAATCAGATATAATTGCACTGAAATCAATGAATATATACTGACATGAAGCTGTGAGAAGAAAATCGGCCTCATGGTGTTTTATATTTGTATAGCCGAAAGCCAAAAATAGCTGTCATAAACACAGCGTGTCCTTTTGGAAGAAACAGTCAATGCCTATCTTACAGTTGTCCAGAAAATTTCTTCTGTTTCAGCAGCTTTGGGTTAGAAAAGTGAAGGCAGCAGTCTTGGAACGAGAACTGTTCCAGAGAAACTTTTTGTTCCAGTGACTAATCTGCTTCTCTTTAATTCCACCGTTAATCTTAGCGTGCACATATCGAGATTACTAACATTTGGCAAGGGACCGCTTTCTTAAACAGGGCTCCTTAAGTGTGTTGCCAGGTGTAAGAGGTTTAATTCAATTGACTGTGTTTTAAACTTCTGCTCTTTACATTAATTATATATATTCCTATCTCTAGGCATAACAGCAAACTATAAGTAGTATGGAATGTTACATTCCAATTAGTTTTGCGGTGCAAATGGGGATTACAGTTGATGGGTAAGTCTGACATGTACTGCATGACTTGCCATGTTTTTTCCTGGAGAGAGGGGAGTCTTGGGTCTGAGTCACCATGGAAGAACATGGAGCCCCGTAGGCACAAAACTGGTGCAGTGGAGTGATGAGTCAGATGTCTTATCTTTGAAGTTGGTATTATGTGGTATTCATGCATGGAATGCACTGCATTAGTTGTGCACCTAGGCAAGTAACTAATGGGCAAAAATCTCAGTCAGTCCTCCAACTCGCCTTTCCTTTGCAGAGTTGGTCCTGCTTCTGTTGAAATGAAAGGCTGCTGGTTAGGATCATGTAGGAAATAACGGTTTATTAACTTGTCGAGAAAATCGGGTCTGCCAGGACGTACCCATTCATTTCTTACATTGTTTCAAGTCCGGTGGTAACATGGCCTAATACTTAAATTTTCACTTTTTGCCTTCTCAATTTGAACATGCTTTTTCAGACTTCTGAAACTGGATACAGAGTAGAGAACTGAGACCAGTGCCACATCTTCATAGGTCCTGGTATTTGTTTATGCTAAATGAGTTTCATGAGCACTGCCGTAGAATGACAGTATTGTTTCTGTTTCCAGAGGAAGCTGATGTTATTGCTAAGCTAATGAAAATAATTGAAATGTCTTAGAAGTGTTAACCTCAGAAATATGTTAAACAGTGAGAGTGAAGACTGCTCACTCAGCTGTTTTCAGAAACAAAACAAAGCCTTATATCAGAGGTGTCTTTACTTAGACACTTACTGTGGACTTTCTTGAATAGCAATCATTAATAACACCATCTTCGCAAGCTAATGGAGCGTGAAGGTTCCTTGATTTATAATCATTTGGGAGCAGATGCTCGAAATTCTGTCCACTTGCAGGAACAGCACAAGAATGACACTTTTACTGAAAATGGGGGAGGGGAGAAAGCAGCAGGGAAATTATGTGTGGGACAGTTGGAATGGCCTGGAAGAGCGTGATGCAATGTCTCCCTCTCCTACGTGATTACAAAAGCTGCTAGAGGGACTGTGTTTGGAAAAAATTACATGACCTTTTTATTTGAAAATTGTAGCAGAACATTATTGATCTGTATGTTTTTAATCTCTTGTATGTAACCAGTCACCATTTGTGATCGCCACAGATGTCAGCAACTGGTTTCGGAGTAGAGGGGGTGTGTGTTCATGGTCTTGCAAAAAATGCTTCTGCTTTCTCACGTTGCCTTAAATTGTGAAACTGTTACAATGAAGACATTCAAAACCATGCAGGAAAGCTGTGCCAATTTAGGTCTAAATCATACAAATTCCAATTAAAGCATAAATGCTTCATCTAAGTGAGATGTACCTGTTGTATTCTCTAGATGTGTAGATAGCTCTAGTGTCTCTTGTGGAGAAATCAGTACAGGGACGGTTTAGCAATCTCAGTGACTGAGATAAAATGCCAAGTTGCTTGTAAGAACTTGGAAATTTCAGTGGTTTTTGTGTCCTGGCGTAGAGATCAACAAACCTGAGAGTAGTTGCACAGGTGCTGTTGATGACTTTGGTAGAGCCAGGGTTTTGCCCTGCTACTTAAAACATCCATGACTGAAATTATAGGGCTAAATCTTTCCCTCATTTATCATGACATAAATACAGTCTTAGTGTATTTTCTTCCTCCTGCTGAAGAGAGAAGGA